AAACCAAATTCCATTTTCCAGAAGACAACTAGCTTATCTATGAACTAGCTTATCTCTCAGATCATTTAATTATGAACCATGTGCTGCCTGGGGTTTTAAGGAATTTTTACACAGGACATATTGGGATGAGTTTCTTTTTTAAGCACTTAAACTGAATAAATTTGATGGAGATGACAGTGAACAATCAGGTGAGGCACTACAGATAAATGGAGTTGGTTCTTGTTAGGCCTGCATGATCCCTGGAATCGATGTGAGAGGTGACCTGGTGCTCAGGGCCAGCTGACAAACAGTTGGAGAGAAATGGCATATCACTATCTGTAAGGCATCACATCCACCAAGATGACAGGACACCCACAGGCCCTGGTGTCACCATCCCAGGCTTTGGTGTATAGCATACAAAGTTAATATACAATGTGCTTCATCTCTTACACCCTGAGTCCCCACAGTGAGCCCTTTGCTCCAAGTCACCCAGCAGCTTCCCATCACACCTGCAAAGGCTGCACAGCCAGCACAATCTGTGACCTGCTTCTTCCTGCTCTCACACTCTCCACTCCTACCTCCTCCAGCCAGAGGAGTCTCTGCTATGACAGTAACTCTTCAGGTTCACTACTAAACCAGGGCTTTCACACATGCTGAAAGTGTTTTTTTGAATGTCCTCCCCCATAGCTTACAATCTTCTTCAGAGCTTTATCCACATGCTATTTTTGTGTGTCCTTCCCCAGACACTTGACACTCCTGCTTTATTTTTCTCCTCAGAGCTTCTCATCATTTAATTTGGTACAGCTTGCTGCTTAGTGATCTTGTTTGATGGCTGACTCCACCCACTGGAAGGCAAGTTCATGTCTGTTTTGCTTATCATGGTGAGAGCCTTGAGATGCTCAAGATATCCTAGTAGACAAGTACTGCACTCTCAAAGGGGGGGTGGTGTCATTATTCTACATATTCCACACAGTATTTGACTATATGTCCTAATGTTTTTAAAAATTTTTACACTAAGATTTTTTAACTCTATTTAAGTTTGCCCATACATTCCTTTTTTTGGTGTATTGATAAATTTTTATTTACTCTTATTTTCCTCTAGTAATCTGAGGTCCTAAATCTTGTTCTGAATCTCAGCTATAGTTGCATTTTAAAATACACATTAAAAATTTGAGAATAAAACCCAATTAGGAAAAAAAAAAAACACCCACAAACCCCAATCGGGGTATCTTAAACTTTTCTCTTTGTTCTCATGCCCAGCCTCATTATTTTTGTTGAATAACTTGGGGTGTGAGGAGGGTAGGACATCCACATCAGCTCTTCAGGTAAAATCCCTCAGTAGGAGATGTTGGAGCTGAAACCCACCTGATGAAAAGGAGCAGCCACAGGCCAAGTAGGGAGTAAGGATTAGGCAGAGCATTAGAAGTGTAAAAAAAAAAAAAAGAAAGAAAGAAAAGAAGTAGCCTAAGGCAAAGACCCTGGGGGCAGGGTTGTTCAAGACCTAAAGAGAGGCCAGCATGGCTGGAAAGGGAGTGCAGATAATGGACAGATGGAGACTTGCTCTGTGAATCCAGAGAAGAACTGATGGTGACTCTTTGGCTCTGGATAATTGTTGAGGAGAGATGGACTACTTACAGGTATGGGAAAAACTGGAGAGAAGTCATTTAGAGGTTCTGGTTGGGGTGGAGGTCAGCATGCATGAGAAACAAGTAGAGGTGTCTGGGGGCTTCTAGCAGGTACAAGGTGGTCAGGCCTCTGAGCTAGACGTGAGTACCTGGTGGTGCCCACCAAGACTGGGGGTGTGGGCAAAGGAACCCCAGGACAAAGAACTGGTGAAGCTAGAGAGGCACACTGCAGGTAGAGTGTGGAGGATGCTTCTAGAACGGGTGAATAGCCTTGAGTGTGACTGAGCATCATGTACGCTGTCCCCACTCCCAGCACCCTGCCTGTGTGTGCACTTTCTCCCTAATCAAAATAGTGGGTTGAGTACCAAGATCACCCCATTTGATAAATGAGATCGTGAGAGGCTAAGTGACTTGTCAAAGTCAGGGGACAGTAAAAGTAGGAGCCAGCATCCATCGCAGGTAACTAGCCTACATGGCCTCTGGAAGGCGTCCTCAGTCCTTTGGAGCCACAGATCCTGGCTTTATATCTAGTGAGGGTTCCTCAGAAAAAGACAAACATAACATATAAGCCAGTAGTTCAAGAAGAGTGAAAACATATTACCATTAAAATGATGCGTGAATATTCATTGCAGCTTTATGCAGATCAGCTCTAAAGTGGGAAGAATCAACTGTCAACTGATGAACAGGTAAATAAGATGTGGATAGCTATCAAAACTCAAACTCATTGCCATAAATTTGGAAGCGACGCATAGCTGACCGTCCAGTGGGTTTCTGAGGCTACAAGACACACAGGAGGTGACAGCCCATTTTCCTCCCATATAGGGTAGCTCGTGGGTTAGAGCTACCTGCCAGAGAGATGTGGCCTTAGGATTAGCAATACAACTCCCCACAAAATATACCACCAGAGTATTGGAAGAAAAAAATAAAGAATTAAATATTGATATAATATGTATTGTGCTTATGCAAAACCTATACTTGGACCAAGAGGCAGTCATCAGAACAGAGCAAGGAGACACTACATGGTTCAAAATCAAGAAAGGGGTCCATCAGGGATATATTTTGTCTCCATACCTTTTCAATCTGTATGCAGAACAGATCATCCGAGATGCTGGGCTGTACTAGGAGGAAGGTGGCATCAGGATTGGTGGAAGAGTCATCAACAACCTGCGTTATGCAGATGACACAACCCTGCTTGCTGAAACTGAGGAGGACCTGAAGCGCTTGTTGCAGAAGGTCAAGGACTGCAGCCTTCAAAACGGATTGAAGCTCAACATCAAGAAAACAAAGATTCTCACCACTTGGCCAATTGATAGCATCAGTATGGATGGTGAAGAGATTGATATAGTTAACAGTTTTAGTTTGCTTGGCTCAACAGTCAACACTCTTGGTACCAACATCCAGAAAATCAAGAGACGAATTTTATTGGGAAGTCAGCTGTCAGGGACCTCTCAAGAGTACTGACGAGCAATGACGTCAGGCTGAAGATTAAGGTGCGCCTGATCCAGGCTATCGTCTTCGCAATTACATGCAATGTATTGGAGAATTGGACAGTGACTAGGGATGACAGAAAGAGAATTGATGCCTTTGAGCTGTGGTGCTGGAGAAGAGTGTTGAATACACCATGGACTGCTAGGAGAACAAACAGGTTTGTCTTGGAAAGGTGAAGCTGGAATGCTCTTTGGAGTAAAGGATTCTGAAGCTTCATCTGACATACTTTGGGTATGTTGCAAGGAGGAACTGGTCCTTGGAGAGGGACATCATGTTTGGGAGAGCTGAGGGATGGCGCAGGAGAGGAAGACCTCTGTGATTGGGGTAATGGGAGTGAGTGTGTCAAAGACAGTGAGGTTGGCACAGGATAGAGCAGCATTTAGAGCTCTTGTACATAGGGTCACTATGAGTCGCAAGTGACTTGATGGCACATAACAACAACAATATGGATGAATCTTGAAAATAGTGTTCTCATCCTATTGACATAAATGCCAAGAAAAGACAAAGTGACAAAGACAGAAAGCAGAGTAGAGCAGCAGGTGCTTGGAGTTGGAGGAGGGAGAAAAGAGGGACAGGGCCTCCCTTAGGGGAGGAAGTACACTGGAACGACACAGTGGCCATGGTGGCAGTGTGAACGTACCAAAAATCACTTCACAAAAAATGATCACAAAAATCAACTCAAGGTGGATCACAGACCTTGAAATATAGCCCCAAACCATAAAGTTCATAAGAGACAAAATGAGACCAAGCTTAGAAGGCCCAGTCTTTGGTATAAAGGGATTACCAAATACAGCCAGAAATTCACAATGTGAAGCACCAGTGGTGAATGGGGCTTTCTAAAGATTAAATCTCTGTGCTCATAAAAAACTTTTCCCAACAGTGTGAAAAGAAAACCAACTGAGAAAAAACATTTGGCAATACCATCTCAGACAAGGGTCTCACATCAAAGGTTTACAGAATCCTATAGGGCCTCCAGGAGAAACAGACTCAAAATCCAATTACAAAATGGGCAAAAGACATGGGAAGAATTTTCACAGAGGAAGACATTTGAATGGCCAGCAGACACAAAGAAATGCTCCAAATCACTGGCAATAAAAGAGATGCAAATCAAAACCACACTAAGATACCATTTTACCCCAGTAGCAGTGGCAAAGTCTAGCAGGGCCGCAAATAGTAAATGTTGGAGAGGATGTGGCAAGATAGGAAGTCTTATACATTGCTGGTGGGATTGTAAAATGGTACAACCACTCTGGAAAGCAGTTTGACACTTTTTCAAAAAGTATAGAAATTCCATATGATCCAGCTATTCCACTGATTGGGATATACCCTGAGAAAATGAGAACTGAGGCACAGAGACGTGAACTCCAAGGCTCATAGCACCAAGAACCATAGCAAGAACATGGAAACAACCACAATGGAATGAATTGAGAAATTATGGTATATTCACACAATGGAATATTATGCAGCACACAGGAGCAATGATTTTTTAAATTACTACCTAACATAGGAGGGACTGAAGAGCATTATGCTAAATGAACTAACTTAGTCTCATAAAGACAAATACTGTATAGGACCACTATTTTAGAATGAGTACCAGGATCCAAGGAGGGGAAGGAGGGAGGGTTTAATCATAGGATCACACAATTTGTTGGGCTGAAGGAGGGATGGGTAAAGGAAAAGGGAAAGATCTGGTGTGAAAAACAATGTATATGAGCTTCATGAACTTTGTAAGTGAACCAGTATGAAATAAAAAATATATTAAAAATAAATCACTTCAGGGCTTACTGTCAAATGGTTTAAACATGGAAATTCAAGAATTGTTAAAACTTTTACTCCAATGGAAAAGGTGTCAAAATTTGTATTTAACTACTGCTTTTTTTGCAAACTTTTGTCACAAGATGCACTGACCTCGTCTCTCTGGATTTCGGACCTGGGATGGCATGTCCTGAATCTCCAGAGTCCATTCCCCTTCGGCCTTCTCTCCCCAGCAGTGCACAGTCATGAATTCCCAGTTTGTAAATCCTTCACTGGAGTGGTCCAGCAACCTGCAATTAGAGATGTGGCAACAGACAGAAAGGCCCTAGAATGAGAGGGGCAGGGGCAGCCGAGTTGGTACTCTGCAGGGGACTGCAACACAAGCCAGGTGTGACACGAGGGGCCAGTGGGCAGGGGCACATAGCTTTTACTTGGGGTTTGGGAGAAGGTGTGGGCCAAGTTCTGATTGTTTCAAACTCTTGTTTCCTACCATGGATAGTAACATACTCTGGCACATGACCATCACCTCCTCGAATCTCCCAAAGAACTCGAGGGAGGTAGGCCCTGCACATGCTTTACAGGAATTCAGCAAACAGTGATTCGTGCTCTCTTCCAGGCAAGTAAGATACTGAAAATACGAAATGCTTATGATAGATGGACTCATTTAAAATTTCCAATGAATAAGACTAATAATTATGTTAAATACATATAAAAAAGCAGTTACTCACATGATTCCACAAACCTCTAAACAACACAAAGAAGTGGCATAGTCTATAGGGAGGTGCACTGCCAATTCAAAAGCAGTGCATGTCTGGGTCTTTAAATTCAGTAGCTGCTCTGAGGGAGAAAGACAAAATGTCCTCCTGCTTGACTTATAGTCTCATAAACCCTGGACCATCAGCTGTGAGTTGTTTCTGACTCTATGGGAATATGAGCCAAGTGAGTTAAACACAAAAATTCCTTCCTCTCAAAACACTTCAACAGGGTAAAAAGGAAAGCCACAGACTGTGAAAAAAATATTTGGTAGTGACCTGTCTGATAAGGGACTTATATCTAGAATTTATAGAATACTCCAGCACCTCAACAACATAAAAGTTAACAACCCAATTGAAAAATGGGCACAGGATATGAACAGATACTTCACCAAAGAAGACTTTCAGATGGTGTACAAACACATGAAGAAATGTCCAAAATCCCTAGCTGTAAGAGAGATGCAAATCAAAACAACTATGAGATATAATCTCACTCCAGTAACAATACCAAAGAACAACAAAGCAACAAACAACAAATGCTGGCGAGGTTGTGGAGAAATTGGAACCCTTATTCACTGTTGGTGGGAGTGTAAATGGTGCAACCACTATGAAAGGCAGTATGATGCTTTCTTAAAAAGTTGGAAATAGAAATACCATTTGACCTAGCAATTCTACTACTGAGAATATACCCTAAAGAAACCAGAACTGCCACCCAAACAGATATATGCACACCTATGTTTATTACTGTCAAATGTCAAACCGGACTGACATGAGAGTTGGGGGGAAAATAAGAAAAGAGGGGCTAAATAATGTGCATACCACATTGAAACAGATGAGGGAAAGAACTGTTTAAAAGAAATGTATGATTAGGAATTATTTGCATGACAACAGTCCAGAACACAAGTTACATAGCAAAGTGGACTGCGGTGAGGGGAGGAAAGAAATTGTGCAACAATGAAATTATTTTTTTTTCCAAAGAGAAAAGTAAACTGGGAGGGAAGATAGCGAGGAAAATGTGCAACAATGAATGAATGGAAATCCAGGTTCTGTATAAACTGCCTTAAGAATGCAATTAAAAGACAAAAGTGTTAAAAAAAAAAGTCCTTCAACCCTGAACATTAGTTTTCTAAATAACAAACCGGCCCTCCTGTTCTAGATGCCAGGCTTTCAGGGGTGTGTTTGCCTGGTGTTTGTGCACCGGCGAGTGTGTCCAAGCAGCAGCTCTGGAGCAAGAAGCTGGGCTGAGGACACAGCTCCACTCTCCTGGCCCTGTCCATCATACCTCTTCGCCAAAAGCTGGGACTTGGTTCCAGATGGGGAGATGAGGTGGATCTGAAGGTCTCCACGGCGTGGGTGGGACAGGGAGATCTGGGCCACCACGTGCTCCAGATAGACCACATGCTGGTCTGAGTGGTCTGCACAGGCGCTGGTCAGCATGGTGGTCCGCAGCGTCTGCACCAGTGGGATGGCCCTGCAGAGAGAAGAGAGCTCATGACTGGTACCTCTCTCCTGGGTAACTGTGTCCTACAGCAGGCGGCACTGCCCTCAAGCCCTGGCTGTGCCTGTGGGTGCCTTTTGTGACCAGTAGTAGTCCATAATTACCCCTTATAGAAGCACCTGGTGGAGTTCCATCAATACCCATTAGTCACTTAACCCAATCCAACTGTAGCCCTGAGGCAACCCAGACCCACAGCAGCCCATCCTGTGCTGGCTTTTCATGCTGTGACCCTTCAGAAGCAGGTCACCAGACCTGTCTCTTGGTTATTCCTAACTCCCCAGCCTGGTTGTTAGTAGTAGCCCCCTAGCCTTCTGTTAATAGTAACCTCTCCCAGCTTTCTGGTTAATAGTAACTTCCCAATAGTAACTACTATTCTGCTAATAGTAACCCTAAGCCTTTTGGTTAATTGTAACCTCCAAGTCTTCTGGTTAGTAGTAATCCCCTAGCTTCCTTGTTAGTAGTAATCCCCCAGCCTTCTGTTTAGTGGCCCAGAACTAAAATTTGAGGTACTAAGAGACTCTTGTTGTTGCTATGTGCTGCAACTCATAGCAACTCTTTATCCAACAGCCCTGAATCCTGCTCTGTCTTGAGCCAATTTCACTGTCTCTGGCACATCTACTCTCACTACCCCAGTCACTGAGTCAATCTATCTCTTCCAGGATCTTTCCCTCACACTGTCCCTCCACCCTTCCAAGCATGATATCCTTCTCTAAGGACTTATTCCTCTTGGCAATATGCCTAAAGTATGTCAGATGAAGCTTTAAAATCTTTGCCTCCAAGTAGCAGCCTGGTTTTACTCTCTCCAGGACAAACCTGTTTGATCTCTTTACAATCCATGGTATAGTCATACTCTTCTCCAGCACAACTCAATGACATCAATTATTCCTCAATCTCCTCTCCTGTCATGGACCTCTCCAGAGTACTGAAGAGCATAATGTCAGTCTAGAGATTAATGTCACCTGATCCAGACCATGGTTTTCACAATTACTTGGAATGTATCAGAGAACTGGTCCAAGTATGTTGTCGCTGTTGTTATGTGTCCTCAAGTTGCCTGGGACACTTAGCAAATCTATGTACATTAGCTCTGAACCCTGCCCTATCCTAAGCCAATTTAATCGTCTCCAACAGTCTTAATTCCATTGCTCAAGTCACTAAGTCAATCCATCTCATCCTGGATCTTCCTCTCCTGCTCTGTTCCCCCATCCTTCTAAGCATGTCTCTCTCCAAGGACTGGTCTCTCCTGACCACATACCCAAAGTATGTGAGACGAAGCTTCAAAATCTTTGCCTCCAGGGAGCAGCCTGGTTTCACCCTTTCTAGTACTGAACTGTTTGTTCTCCTGGCAATTCGCAGTATCTTCAACACTCTCCTCCAGCAATACATCCTAAAGGTATCAATCCTTCTTTCTATGATCCTTAGTAATTGTCCAGCTCTCTGATTCATAGCAAGTAACTGCAAAGACCACGGCCTGGATCAGGTGCACCTTAGTCTCCAGACTAACCTGTTGCTCTTCAGTACTTGAGAGAGGTCTCTGACAGTAGATTTTCCCAGTGAAATTCATCTTTTGATTTCCCAACTGCTGGTCCAAACATAGAAGCTACTAATTATTGTTTGTATAGATTTTAAAACCAGATCCTCATGCTGTCATGGGTTAATGCCCAAAGCTGTGGTCTGTGCAATCCTGAGAGCTCTCTGTTCCAGGGGTCAGCTTTCTCCACAGGACACTGAGCAAGATAACCTTCAAATCCTACTATTTGTTCAAGCCTTAGCCTTGAAAACATAATTTGCAGTGCTAAGTGTGCAACTAAAGAGAAAGTAGTGAAAGTCTGACACTTTCTAATATACATGTCTAGTGGGAACCTTTCTGTTTGTTTTCCTAACAGTCCATGGTACCCTCAATACTCTTCTCCAGCACCACAGCTCAAAGGCATCAATTCTCCTTCTATCCTCCTTAGACATTGTCGAACTCTCTGACGCTTAACAAGTGATAGCAAAGACCATGACATGTATCAGATGCACCGTAGTATCCAGAGAGACACCATTGCTCTTCAGTACTTTGAAGAGGTCCCTAACAGCAGACTTTTCCATCACAATATGTCTTTTAATTTCCTGGCTACTAGTGCCAAGAGTGTTGACTGTGGAGCCAAGCAAGCTAAAGCTGTGAACAATCTCAATCTCTTCACCACCCATCCTGATGCTGCCAATTGGTTCAGTGGTGAGAATCTTTGTCTTCTTGACATTGAGCCTCAATCCACATTGGAAGCTTCAGTCCTTGACCCTCTGCAGCAAGCGCTTCAGGTCCTCCTTGGAGGCAAGGATTCCGAGGTTCCGTCTAACATACTTTGGACATGTTGTAAGGAGAGACCGGTCCTTGGAGAGGGACATCAATCTTGGGAGGGTGGAGGGACAGCGCAGGAGGGGAAGGCCTTCTATGAGGTGGATTGATTCAGTGACTGGGGCAATCGGCATGGGAGTGTCAGAGGCAGTGCGATTGGCACAGGACAGAGCGGAGTTTAGGGCTGTTGTACATAGGATAGCTATGAGTCCCAAGCGACTTGACGGCATGTAACAACAACAACAGTGGGAACCTACTTATTTTCTGTAAATAAGTACCTCATGCAGTTTAGCATTTGCATGATATTAGGTAATAAAGGCTTTCATTTATAGCCAGTAGATGGAAACTAAAAGGCACGCAGTTTGAAACCATCAACTGCTCTGAGGAAGGAAGATGGACAGTCTCCTCCCATATGATTTACTGCCACTGAAAATTCTCTGGGGACTCAGCTATGGGCTGGTTCTGACTCAATGGTACACCGCTCCCATGTCCACCACAATTCCCCAATTAGTAGGTAACAACTTCTCATAATACTCTAAGCTAGAAGTAAAACTTATGTTTCTTTCTGTAACTGCTTAAAAAGAAGGCACTTTCTTTCCTTTCCCCTTCCTCCATCTCTTAAGCCTCACAGAAGCAATCAACTGATTTCTTTACATTTTAAGGTTAAGTTACCCAGTTGCTCAGTAATTTTAAAGAACTCATTACTTGGAGCTTTCCCCTCCCCTCTCTAGCAATCCTGTACCTGAGAATTAATCCCCCTTTGATCATAAAACACTGGAAGGTACCAGCTACCTGCCATCTTTGTCAAGGCTGGGTCTACTTGCTCAGAATTCCCCCCAGACCTGGACAGAAGATACTGGAGACTCTCACTCACTTCCCACGCTACCCCAGAGAGAGGCAGATTTGGGAAGCCCCTGTCTCTCCCAGGCAAGTCAAGAAAACGCCCGCTTTTCCCAACCCGACCCCTTCTCCAAGGTTGGGTTATTTGGTAGCAGGCAGTGTTTCACAGTAATAAATACAAAGCAAGGTACTCGTCTAAAATTTAGGTGTTGGCACTTTTAAAGCCGAGAGAAGCAAAGTACTATGGTCAAGGTTCCACAGCTAATGAAAGGCAGTGGGAGATGCAAGGATATGAACCAGCTCCACGGTCAGCCCTTGACCCTCTCCACCACATGCCTCTCAGGTCCACTTGTTGTCAGATCAGCCCCCACTCCGGACATGGCCCTCTGGAGGGTTTCCTGGGCTGATTTCAGTGGATCATCAGACTTTTCTGCTGAGGCACTTCTGCCTGGATTGAAACCCCCAACCTCTTCAACAACATGCAGCTGAGCATGTGGACCATTGGTGCCATCAGGACTCTCAAGACCATTCATACAGCCCTGCACTTCCATTTAAGGTGTGGGGAGGGGAGGAGCAGGGCCCTCCAGTGAGGCACACTGTACACATGGTACAGAACTAGGCCCACTGGTCCGTTCTTTATGTCCCTCATTCCTGGGGCCTGTCCCTCTCCTGTCCCGTGATGGGAGATAATGGCTTTTCTCTTCCCAAAGCTTGGATTTGCCATAGAGAATGGAATCTGAGGACAAACCCTAGTTATTTAATAATTCTTACTAGAATTTTCTATGAGGCTCCTCAGATAAACAGGCACATTTGTATGAGAAGCGATTTCTGCAAGTATGCTGGACACCTGCCTGTCCTGCCAGCTCTCATCTTGGGGAACACTGGCTCTTGCCACAATAAAGTTGCAAGTTGCAATATACCACATGTGTGCAGGAAATTCCCAGCACCCACCAGTGCATCCATGGAGGCCTGTCCTGTGCCCTCTGCTGCCCTCCAGGAAGGCTGGGAGCCCAGATGCAAGACCTCTCAGCAGTTACATTGCTTGAGTCATAAAAACAAAACAGTTATAAGAAGTGATGTAATTCCCAAGAGGACTTTATAGATATTTGAAAACATGATTTACATGTTCAGTAAATGGTTTTAGAGGCTGCATTCACTCACTGTCTTCTTCTTAGTCCACTCTGTTTACACGTAAGCACATCCTATCGCTGGGCCAGAGCAGAAAGCTTGGAGAGGTCTGGCCACTGTGGGGGCCACCGGGTGAGGAGACCTTCAGCCCTACACAGAGGAGGAGAGGTTTGTGTGTGTGTGTGTAGGAGGCCAAGGCTAAAGGTGGAGTAGTAAATAAGGCAAGACACACCACTGAACAGTTCCTCGAGGCTTGCCAATGGGACTCCTGGAACCTGAGGCCCAGGAAAACTTTATGTGCTCATACTGCAGTACTTCTCCAAGGTGAATCACAGAATGAAGCTGAGACACAAACAGAAGTCTCCACGGAGTTATAAAAAGTGGTTTGTGCCACAGTCATTTGCTAATTGGAAGGGGGCCAATCTGCTCAAGATGATGAGTAGTGAGTAGGCTAGGGCCCACTGCATACAAGAAGATGAGAAGAATGAGGGCAGGGAGAGCAAAGCAAAGGCCAGCCCTCCCTGCCCACCAGTGGGCTCAGTCACAGGTCAGTGTTGGAGTATGGACACTTCCTCCCATGAACCTCTAAGTTCAAGGTGGTGCCAGCAATTAGTGTGCTGGACCCTTGGTGGTTTCCATTATGCCCAGGTAACTCTAAAGAGAGGTCTGA